CACACACACACACACACACACACACACACACACACACACACAGCGTCTCTCTGGTCCATCATGTGGCTGAACCTTGTTACTGCAGCAGGACTCACTTGGTCAAATGTGTTTAAATGGATCTTTCTCATTTCAATCAAAGCCTGATTGGATGATATCAGCCAATCACAGATACATCAGTATCATAAGAACCTTTTACAGAACATGATGCAGAATAAGGTGAGTTCATTCAAAAACAGATTCAAATCAAATAAAGACAAAAGATGCTTCAAACCTAATTTATCCACAAACTTGTTTCTCTTCATCGTTGATACCAGGTTTTTCTGGCTTTAACATTTCTTGAAATGTTCAGTTCGGTATTAAAAAGGAAAAGCTTCATGATCTGCAGCCTTAGTGTGTTTCTACTTTTTTATGTGCATTGCACCACACCATCACCACACAGATGACCCCTCCTGGTCAGATCGACACCAGCTTTGACTCACCTGGGGCTGCTGTGGAGGGACGGGGCCGAGGTTGCCTTTCGGAAGCCATCTTTGAGGTTGGAGCGGCGCCACGAATCCTTCTCTGACCTGGAGCGGACCGGAGGGCCAGCATCATCTTTGGACTCCCCTCGGAGCCCAGCCACTGAGGCGCTGAGGGTGATTTCGGAGCGAGACGTCTCTGAGGTGGTGGCTGGGTCTGGACGGGCCAGCGGGGCGAAGCTCAGCTCAATGATCTGCTTGGCGCTGTCGCAGATCTGACTCTGAAAACAGACACAGCAGCTCTGTGGTCATTGCACGACTTATGATGTGATTCGTCTGCTGATGATCCTACCTGGATCTCCGGGGTGAGGGTCGGTAGGTCAAAGGTGAACACGGACGTGGATCCAGAGGTCAGTAGGTCGACACTGTCCAGGCTACTGTACGAGGTGCCTTTGGCCCGGTGAGACTCCATGATGTTTTCAAAATGGCGACTGAAGGAGTCAAGGTTGCTGTCGGAGGGTTGGCGGGGGCTGCCAACTGAGATCGGAGACTTGAGGCCGCCGTGGTTTTCGGACGAAGCCTCCAACGGCCTGAAAAAGTAGACAAACAGTGAACGTTAAAGTCTGTGGTGCTGGTGAAGCATCATGAAGGTCCAGAGGAACACGAGACAACAAGACTAATGAAACCATGATAAAATGTTTGATCTGGTATCTGGACCACATGAATCTGAATTCATAATCAATGGACAAAATCCAAAGTGTGAATGATGAACGCTGTGTTTAATATGAAACTTCTTCTTAAATGTTGGGACGTCTGATCTGTTTTTGAGCTCTCACCCCTTCAGCAGCAGACTGAACACCTCCTCCTCGTCTTTAGTGGCTCTTTGTCTCTGTTTGTCTCCAAGCATCCTGACACTGGCCCAGCTCACCACTCCTTCCTCCTCCTCCTCTACTTCCTCCTCCTCTTCCTCCTCCTCTTCATCCCTCTCCTCCCTTCCTCCTGTCCGGGGTTTCGGGGAGGCATCAGCGGGGCTGAAGCTGGAGTTTCCTAGGACGCTGCGGTTACTCCCAAAGGCTGAGTCCCCCTCTGCCTCCTCTGCCGTCTCCGCCTCTGCCCGCATCACCTGCACGGTAATAATAAATATTAATCCTGCATGAACATTCCAGGTGAAATGAAAGCAGATGAAACCAGATCACCTCGTCCAGGTCGGTTTCTCTGTAGCAGCGCAGCGGAACGGCGTCAAGATCCGTTTCAGAGTATTTAATGCTCCGCCGGATGATACCCGTCTTACGGGTGGTGTCTTTGAGGTAAGGGGTCACCAGCTCCACCTCGATCTGCCGCACTTTGTGATGTGACAACTTTTTACCCTGGTCGTCCCGCTCCCTCCTCTGATTAGCTGGCTTCAGATGTAGGGAGGACGGAGGGGTGGGGTTGGCCAAACCACTAGTCGGTGGCGTTGTGGATGAGCCGTCAGCTAAAGGAAAGAAACATATTCATATTTACTGTGACAGGTAAAGTTTGAAGTTCTCAGGAGAAGTGTACCACAGGGTTCTTTAATAGAATCATTCCTTTTCCAAGTTGTTAAAATAAGACTGGAGGGAACATCCAGCCAAGCAAAGTGAAGATGCATCTCTATGCAGATGATACAGTGTAGGCTACTTTATACATAACTGTATGTACAAATAGAAGTAGAGGTGGAAATGTGGAAACAAAAACCACTCACAGTGGAAGTAAGATTATTTCTGACTCATGAGCACGTTGCAGCGTTATGGTGAACAAAATAAACGCAGTAAACAAATCTGTTAAAATACTGAGAGAAAACATGACTGAAGTGATTCCTCTACTAAAGTTAATGATTGTAAAGATAAGTTAAATATGTGACACGTAAATATTATTCTGGCCATTGTCAGTTTAGAAAAGAACTTAATGATGGTTAATGATTTCCTCATGATTTTACTAGATTTCCACAGTCCTCAGACATCAGAGACTCCAGAGTGTCCTGAATACAGAACAGGAAGTGAGTAATGGTTTGTAGTAATACTTGTGAGTAGAGTCATAAACAGAGCCGCCGTGTTCTCGCTGATGTTAGGATTTAGCTAATTGGCTTAGAAAAAGACTGGGAGCTCGTCAAGCTGCTTGTTTACTTAATGGAGAGAAGAAACAATACAATAACCTGTGTGTGTGTGTGTGTGTGTATATATATATATATATATATATATAAACAATCAAATGAATGGATACATGATTGAAGTTACTGCAATTCCAGCCTGAAACTGTGCTGAAAAAAAGAACAATAATAAACCATTTGAGAAAATCACTACAACAATATCAACTTTTATACAGTTAATGGAGTTAAAGTGTTGGTTTGTTTATTCCAAACATTTATAAACATATTCATTATGTTTCTAAGGAACATTAAAACAAGTATTAACTCAAAGACAATGATCTGCAGTATCGAACCTTTCCTGCAGCGAGCCTCCTCCCTCTGGCCTCCAAACAGGAACTCCCACTTGGCTTGGGCGATCTTCTGCGATCGCGAGGATGGAGTCGATGCTGAGCCGCTGTCCGACTGTAGAAGGAAACAAAACACTGTGACAACGTTTGTTTCTTCTACTTTAGGAGACAGAATTACACACAACTTTACAACAAACAAAACATTTAAACGAGTGTATAGATAATTATTATTATTATCGTATCAATTATAATTCATGTTTTTCTCGATCCTTTGAGTTTTAGCTGCAAAGCCCAATGGGACCTGAAGTTAACCAACCACACAATCTTTGTGGAGTGTTCATATATCACTGACCAATCACTCCGTACAAACTTGTTTATCTTAGAATATGGACAGAAAGATGAACAGAGGGCAATCAAACAGAAACTAATGAATGGTGATGATGAACTTCTTGTTATCGAGGTAAATATGACATCAGACCATGACTTTAACTTTTATTGTTCAGCTCTGCAGACAGACGGATAACATCACACCACTCAGAGATTCCCACACACACAGGGTTTGGCTGCATTAATATACAACCAAACCCACATCATCCTCCCGACCAGCCGACCTGCATCCCAGAGCCGGTGTCGGTAGTATCGTGGCTGGACTGACTCGAGGTTTCAGGGAACAGACTGTCGTTTCTCTCCAGCTGGAAACTGTCTCCCACACTGCCTGTCACCCCACTGGAGCTCTGAGAAGACGTCCCACCAGCCCCACTGTGATCCTGAACCTCCTCTCTCTGATCCATGGATATGCCTTCAACTGACCTCTGGTTCCCCTGCACTGACGCTAGAACTCCTTTGTTTTCTCTATCAGTCCTATGTTTCTCCTCTTTGCTTGGAATGTAAACTCTACAGTTTTTCTGTCTGTAGTCTTGATCAAAAAGTTCATCCCTGTCTTGGACTGGTCCAGTGTCCCTCCACTCCTGGTGCCTGGAGGTCCAGCTCACAGGCAAAGCGTCTGTGTTTTGGCTTGAGAGAAGTCTCCTGCAGAGTTTGGGTGATCTATCAAAGAGGTTATCATGCTGCCTCAGCTCCATAGCGGGTGCTTTACGGTCTCCAATGTACTGTGGTGGCTGGTAGCGGTGCAGGGCGGACATGTCTCTACTTGGTGATGAACTCAGTTGTTGCCGTGGGTCTAAAACTGGAGATTGAGAAGTAGCAGCTCTGTGCAACCTAGCCGGTAAAGCTGGAGATGCTGGGGAAGAGAGGCCTGTCTGGGACAAGAGGGGTAAGACATGTCCTGATCTGGTTTGAAGTATCGGTTTGTCTGTTTTCCATTTGTGGTTCTGTTTGTCCACCTGCAGAGGTTCAGGGGAGTTTTGGCCATGAAGATTGGCGTAGGGTTGGGATTCTCTGAGGAATGATGCCCCCATCTTGGGACTGTTTGACCTCAGTGACTCAGCTTGAGAAGGTGTTGGCGAGGGAGAACCTCTGCCTGCAAAAGTACTGGACAATAAGGCAGCCTCCACAGCTAACTTACAAGCCACTTCAGCATTTAAGGATGGGGAGACACTTCTCCTGCCGATGACTGCATCCCTGGTTCTGCTACTACAGTGTAATGGTTTGTAGTGACTCTTGCTGGGAAAGTTTGACATATTGTTAGCACTGTACTGTATACTGTCTTTAGCATTATAGCTACTATCAACACAGTGGTGGGAGTTCCCACTTGTTTGGTAGTCAGTCCTGTGCTGGTTGCTGGCAGGGGATAATCTAGATGGGACCTCGTGTTGGATGTCTGTGGGTCTCCCCGCAGGTAAAGGTGGATGAAATTTGCTGGACAACCTGGGGCTCTCATCCCCTGTGCACAGCCTCTGCTGGCTCTGAGGCAGACCATGCGAGTATAATGGTGAGGTTGGAACCACTGAGTGGGAGGAGTATTCAGTGTGGGCACACAGATGGTCAGAGGCTGGACTTCTGGGTAGACCATTAACTGCACTACGGCAGATTCCCTTGTCCATCTCTAAGAGCTGGGTCTTGGATGGCAGGGTGTGGGTGCTTCGGGGCAAGACCGGTGACCCCCCCCAGGACCTGCAGCGAGGGGATTGGTAGTGCCGTGGCAGAGTTGGGCTGCAGTTGTCTGGGCCATGACTGCCAAATCGTCGCTGGAGTTCTGGGGATCCGAACTCCTCCAAGGCTCTGTAGGTGGCATCTCTGGCTACCACATCCAGAGTAGCCCTCTGCAGGTAAGGTGAGCCCTGTGAACACTGAGTCTGAGACGGGTTGGGGTGATAAGTGCAATGGTCACCCAGTGCTGGCTGACCATTGCACCACACTGGGTCACTCAGTCTTTTCCGGAGGTGGGCAGGTAGTGTTTGCCCCTCCATTCTATTTAAGGGGATGTCCAACTCACTTTGGCACACAGGAGTACGCTGGCTGCCCATGCTGTGAACGTTAGCTTTCTCTATGTAGCCAAAGGTCACCACAGATGTCTTCCCATCCTCACCCTCCACCCCTGGGATATCATAGGACCTACGGTTGGTGGTGGGTGTGGTGGGTACAGTCAACCTTCTCGAGGATGTAGAAGATGGCGAGATTAATAGCCTTTCCTGGTAGGGATCCATGTCAGAGGAATTGGCATGTCCCAGTGATCCATGCTGACCTGGACTGGTCATTCCAGGTGAAATGACCTGGAGTAACTGAGAAAATTCATCATATAACACATCCTGCCGATGGAACTGGGTGGGAGATCCTGTTGCATCTGGGTTTTGAAGTTGAAAGCTGACTGAGTGCCTGGAGGAGGACTTTGAAGGGGGTGCGCTGTGGGTCCCACGCCCAGTGTGATGCCAAGTAATTGGTGAAAGATCTGGGCTGCGGTTGGGACTAGAGTGAGTGGAGCTCCTTTCGGAGTGAGGGAGGACACCTGGGCATGAAAGCGTCAGGTGGCTAGTTCCATTATCTCCTCTTTCCAGCACCTTCCCTTCCTCCTCAGCAACAGACCTCACCTCAACGTACAGGTGAAGGACTTTACCTGCCTGGGACATGTTGGCAACTCAGTCAACTAAATGTCCTGATCTTCCGTTTCCGTGGGCCCTCACTATTTGCACAAAAGGCCCCAGGACCCACTGGAACCAATGAAGGTATTCATCAAATGTCCTTGATGGGGATCAGAATCAGGCCTAGAGATGCTGGTCTATTCTCCATCTGCTCGTCATCTCTTCAACCTGCAGCACAAATACAAACAATATTTACAAAGTTAATCTTTTTTTGTTTATTCTACAGCTTCAACTTCTTCTTACCCAAATCCAAGTAATCGAAATTCCTACAGAAGAATGCTCTTTCTCACACATACACACTTTAAAACTTGCATCCGACCCCATAATCTTTCATGTTGTGTGTTTTGTTGCAGTTCAATTCACGTGAGATAACTGAGGCTGTGGTTCTATTAACATGGTTCCAGATATCAGATACCAAGCACCTCTTATCTTTTCATCCCAATGTCTGAACAGTAGAGCCACAGTATCAAGGCTTTACCTATACACCCACATGACTCGATCACAAGTGCCCCTCAGTTTTGGAAAGTTAAGAGCTACTGATAAGGTACAGCGGTTCAAGTGCTCTTTTATGGTTCTAACAGTGTCTTTAACTGATTTCTGTGGCCAGCGAGAAGGTTTTAGTGATCCTCTAGAAGGTTGTTTTTGCGAAAGATCTGGGTTAGTTGAGAAGCTTCTAATGATCACTGAGGATGTATAAATCCTTGAAGAGGTTATATTGAGAAGGTTCAAGGGAACCTTTAGGATGTTTAATTTACCCTTTAGGATATTTCAGGGAATCTTTAAATGCTCCACATGCTAATGATGAGTCCAAAAACGGATTCTTCAAAAGGTTCTCAAAGTAAATAAGAAAATTACATTAGTCCTTCAGTATGTTGATGTTTTCCTTAAGAGGTTCTAGTGGTTACTGAGGGTATTCTAGAGGTCCATTACAGGTTGTCCGGTCACTGAAGCAGCTTTAGGATAGTTTAGGGGGTTATGAATGACACTGAGGATTTAGAAGTCCCTTAAAGGGTTGTAGTGGTCTCTAAAGAAGTTCTGGGGTAAGTGTTCTGATAGGGTTCATAGTGATATGGTAGGAGGTTTATTCCAAACATTTTGCAATCACAAGAATAAATAACAAACAGCAGTGAAGGGGTTCAGAATAGTTGCTGTTCTGGTTCTCAGCCTTTCAGACCACTTAAGTCCTCCTTACCCTCTGATAAGATTAAATACTGGTAATTACAAGTCAATTCATGTCCTTGGCCACCCTCCAACATGGCGGCAGGAACATGTGGACCAGCAGGCGCCAAGTGACACGTGTGTGTTTGATTTGTCTATTAATAGAAAAGGGAAAGCAGCTTGTAGTGGGCTCAGGTGAGAAACTAGAGCCTTTTGTACAAACTGTCTGATCTGCTGGATATAGAAACAATCCTTCTTTCCTTACAGTCAAACTGGATTTCATATTTTCATAAGAGTTTAGATTTTTTAATAGAGTAGAGTGATACTTTTTGTGTCTGTTTTTTCATTTAAGATTTTAAAGTTTACTCATTTCTGTGCTCTTTGTTGGACAGATGTGAAGTCACATGAAAACACAGTTGAGACCCAGTCAAGAGAACTATAAGATGGAGACGTCTCTGACAGCTCAAGGTCGTAAGTAACCAGGATCTTACAAATGCTGAGGTCATGGTTCAAAGTCAACTCTCACAACCCCCAAAAATAACAATACCAATAACAGTACTAAGAAAATACAAATCGATAATTGGTGTTAAACTGTGCTAACGAGGCTGAGTGCTGAAATCATCTGGATATTAAACACACACACACACACACACACACACACACACACACACACACACACACACACA